ATTTTATCATCTATTAGAGGAAAGTGAAATTAAAGTGAACTTCTAATACTACCGAGTGTAATCCTTTTTGCGAGACGCTTACTTTTTCCTATTGCTTTTCCTTCAAATTGATAATCTGCGCGCGACAAAATTTTCAATTTTCAAAAACCTACGCAAACTGCATATATCTGAGATTATTCGTGGTCTCCTATTTTAGAATGGTAAGCACATTCTTTTACTTTTAATCAAAAACTCAAGCTGTGTACAAATGTGTTTATTCAGTTTGACTTGAAAGTTCTTGAAATTTTGTGTTCCGTCTCTAGATAGTTCTTGTGACCTTATTCAGCATGGACCTTCTCGCAAAACTGATGGGATGTACTACCTACGAGCTAAAAAACACTCAACCAGCCTTTCCTGTAAGTCTGATCCGTATTAAATATAGTACGTATTCCTCTCTCAAAATAACGGCAATGCAGCCGAGCCAGTCAGCAAACTTGATTAGAAAAGTTAAATCTTCAACTGAAATAACGGTTCAAGGCTGTATTCATGCAGTAACTGGAAACTTCCAAGTAAGAACTATGATGCAAAGAGAGTGGAGACCGTTTTCTAAGAATGCTTTATGCATTTCGTTGACATGGCTAAAAAAGGTTTCTCTCGCATGGTCAGATTCTCATCTAACCTGGTTTCTCTTTGGCACTTTGAAGGACCTCGTAGGCGTCTTGATGTTGGCTAATGTTGCATTATCTTACACCTGGCCGTTACATATCAACCCTTTTTAAACAAATTATTTTGCAACAACAACAAAATCGCTCCACGAACATGAAAAGGTCAAAAGTTAACCAATGAAGCACAATGTGAACTTTTCCTCTTGTTTTCACAGACCCTCTCGCGAAACTACCGCGATGTACCACGTATGCGATAAAAACACTCAACTAGCCTTTCCTGTAAGTCTAAACCGAAGAAAAATGTAATATATATTCTTCCCCTAAATAACGGCAATGCAGCCATGCCGGTCGGAAACCTTGATAAGAATAGTTAAATCTCCAACTAAAATAACGATTCGAGGCTGCATTCACGCAACAACTGGAA